TCTAGGTTGTGAGGGAGATAGATCAGTGTGTCGATCCCATTTCATTGTAGTAGCTGCTTTGTGCATTTTCAAGAAGGTTTGGGGTTTTGTGGCCGATCCTATATTGTAAAGACGGGTACAATGTTCCCATTTCTGAGCTTACTGTAAATAGAATCTGCTTTGTGCATATTGTTCAACTTTATCTGCTTTATGCATATTGTTCAACTTTCTTGGTGAAACTGTGACTGCTTCCGTGTGTTTCTTGAGGCTCTTTACCCTTACAACACCCTCATTTCTATATTCACAATCACCACCTTCCTCCACTATGTCTCAGCTGACGACGCCACCATTATGGCCGCGCTGGCTAAATCTCTCTCCTATCCCCTTCCTGGTTGGTTTGGCTCCAAGCCCTGCAAATGGCAAGGCGTTAATTGTGATTCCTCAGGCAAAATCAGCTCCATTAGTCTCCCTTCCATGTCTCTCACAGGACAAATTCCATCAAATTTGAACCAACTTTCCAATCTCAAATCCCTTCACCTCCAAAACAATCTCCAGGCCCCTTGCCGTCTTTATCCAACCTCGCTTCCCTCCAAGACGTCAATCTTGATGGCAATAATTTCAGTTCTATCCCTCCTGATTTTCTGTCAGGATTAACAAGTTTACAAACATTTAGCATTAATAATAACTCAAATCTCCCACCCTGGAAAATCCCTGATACCCTCAAGGATTCAACATCCCTTATTAGTTTTAATGCAGGGAAGGCTAATCTTGTCGACCAAATTCCAAATATTTTTGGATCCTTTCCAAGTTTACAGAACCTGAAGCTTTCATATAATAACCTGACAGGGTCATTGCCTCTTTCGTTTTCCAATTCCGGGATTCAGAATCTATGGCTCAACAATCAGATGATGGGACTTTCAGGCATGATAGATGTCCTCGGGACAATGTCACAGTTGACAGAGGTTTGGCTTCATGTCAACGAGTTTTTAGGTCCAATTCCAGACCTTTTCGCGTGTACAGAATTGTATGATATTCAGCTTCGGGATAATTTTCTCACCAGTGTGATTCCTTATGCTTTTACAAAGCTTCTGAAGCTCAAAACTGTCATGTTGCAGAACAACATATTCCAGGGTCCACAACCTGGTTTTTCAAATGGTGTCCAGGTGATTCTTGGAACTTCTAACAATTTCTGTAATCCTAGTCCCGGTCCATGTGATCCACAGGTGACTACTTTGCTTGAGGTCGTTGGGATATTGGATACAATGGCATTGGCACAATCTTGAAAAGGGAATAATCCTTGTCAGAATTGGATACATATTTCCCGCGATGTGAAGGGGAGTGTGACTGTTATCAATTTTGCGAAGCAGAATCGGGTTGGGACCATATCTTCGGCCATTGCCAATCTCACTGAAATAAAAACTGTCCTTTTGAACAACAACAACCTTACCAGATAGCTTGACCAGTTTGAAACTGCTCCAGCTTCTTGATGTCTCCAACAACAATCTTTCTGGCAAAATCCCACAGTTTTCTTCAAGTGTCACACTAAAAACAACTGGAAATAAGTACATTGGGATAGATTTACCCCCTAATTCCCCTCTTGGAAGTACATCTAAAGGAGAAAATAATCAATCTGGTGCAAAAAATGGGACTAATTTTTCTCTCTCAGCATGGATGATTGTCGTCTCTATTGTTGCTGCCGTTTCAGTGGTTCTTGCCTTGTGCTTTGCAATTTACAGGTGCTATGCCAAAAAGCACAGTGCAAAATACAAATGGGTTAATGGAAGTGAACTTGGAAATAGCGAAAAAGAGAATGAGACTAGGGAAAATGTAAAAAGCACCAGCGAGACTCTCATTCGAAGTAGCGGTGAAAAGAACGATTATCATGTGTACGATGGTGGGAATATTACAATCCCAATCGAAGTTTTTTGAGAAGTTACAAATAACTTCAGTGAAAACAACATTTTGGGTAGGGGCGGATTTGGGGTTGTTTATAGAGGACAACACCACGATGGGACGCAAATAGCAGTTAAAAGGATGGAATCAAATATTTGAAGTGACAAGGGGATGAACGAATTCAAGGCTGAAATCGAAGTGCTTACAAAGGTAAGACACAGAAATCTTGTCGTGCTTCATGGATTTTATGACAATGGGAATGAAAGACTTTTGGTCTACGAGCACATGTCACAAGGGTCATTAGGGCAGCATTTGTTCCATAGGGAGGAGTTGGGGCTTACGCCTCTCACTTGGAACCAAAGAGTGACAATATCACTAGAAGTTGTTAGAGGAGTCAAATATCTACACAGCTTAGCGCAGCAGAGTTTCATTCATCGAGATTTGAAACCTACGAACATTCTTCTGGGAGACAACATGAGGGCTAAGGTTTTTGATTTTGGTTTGGTGAGGAGTGCTCCGGATGGAAAGTACTCAGTCGAGACTCGGTTAGCTGGAACCTTCGGATATCTTGCACCAGAATATGCTGGTATGTATCAGTTTTTGTTATTGAATATCCTATATTATAATCTGGCTTTCAGACACCAATATACTCTTCATTCTTAAATCTATACTCCTAGTGCATTCATGTTTAAGAAAGTTTAAGCATGTTCTAGTACTACTACTAAGTACTAACAAAACTATTATCTTCAATTCCAAATAGCCACAGGAAAGAGTGACAACAAAAGTTGATGTCTTTGCCTTTGGGGTGGTTTTGATGGAAATCATCACTGGCC